CCTCTTACTGATATGAATGGGGCTGGATTATTCCCTTCCACTTTCTCCCTGCCAAGATAAATAGAAATTACCTATTACTAGAAGGAGCTAGAGTCACCATTGAGTCTATTCTTGCTTTTTGTTCTTATGGATGTAAGCTGTGAACAGTGTTGTTCACCTAAAAACATGTGGTATAGTGAACAACCTTGTCATCAATAAGATATTGGCTTTATTTTTCTGGAGTTGTCCTCATGAATTGGTACAGTATCACTCATACTCCATTGGTTTTCTTCATGCCCAGTGAGATGCATATTTCACAGTTGTCCAAAGTCTGGCCTATGAGCAGAGTCATGAACAGAGTGATTCTTTGGGTAAGGATAAGGGACTTGTATTACTACTTACCTAATTCAGTTTCACATTTTTTTTTCTGTATTCTGCATAATAAGTATTTAGAAACAGATGTCCCTACCAACCAGAAGTTTTCATTAAGTCTCCTGTTGGTTAAAACAAAATTTGTTGTTTAAATGGCCAGTAGACATACCCAGACTTAAAATATATACCATCGATGGTAAGTGTTTAAAAGAGAGTTGGGGGTGCCTGGGTGGCTCAGTTGATTAAGCATCTGACTCTTGATTTCGGCTCAGGTCATGACCTCAGGGTCCTGAGATCGAGCCCCTTATTGGGCTCCACGCTGGGTGTTGAGCCTGCATAAGATTCTCTCTCTCTCTCTCTCCCCCTCTTAAAATAAAATAAAACAGCTTTAAAAGAGAGAGCTAGGGGCACTTGGGTGGCTCAATGGGTTAAAGCCTCTGCCCTTCGGCTCGGGTCATGATCCCAGGGTCTTGGGATGGAGCCCCGCATTGGGCTCTCTGCTCAGCAGGGATCCTGCTTCCTTCTCTCTCTCTGCCTGCTTCTCTGCCTACTTGTGATCTCTGTCTGTCAAATAAATAAATAAAATCTTTAAAAAAAAAAGAGAGAGCTAGACGTCGACATTCTGATGTCCCTAGAATCTACACATACTGCAGAGTTTAAAATTATTTCTTAAAAATATTAAAATTAATATTAAAGTTAAAATATTAAAAATATTTATTGCAGAAGGTCCTTTGCAGAGGTATCACACAGACCCTTGTAAAGGTTCCGCTTGCTTCCATTTCATACCCCACAAGCCTGGCTATTCTGAAAACCTCCTAATCCAGTCTTGGGAATGTTCTGCTCCTCCGAAAATTCTTCCCTCACATCCCGACAACAAATGTCCTTTGTCCCATAATAATTAAAAAAAAAAAAAATCCCCGAAAGATCCAAATTGAATAACAATAAAGATCTGATTGGAACCTTCATAAGCCTGACAATGTAGAATTGTATTTCTTAAAAAGTGTGTAACCACATTTGTCTGGGCTGCAAAAGACACCACAGAATAAGATCAGAATAGAATTTCAACTGACTCCCTAATTTCCTTAGAATGGCTTATATTTCAAGCCCTTCCTGTTTTTTTCTGATAGAGTAGGTGTCCATTACTAACTATAAGTGATAAAGAAAGTATAAAAACAGCCCCTTCCCTAAAAGTACAACTGAAATTAGCACTGAAGTTCACATTTATAAATTAGTCATTTTAGCCTAAGTTTAATTGTAGACTACTTATTTACGTTTAATCCTCCTCTTGATGATTATAACTCCTCTTGATTTATAATCGCTTCCTAATTTCCCATAATGGACCAGGCCTGGGTCCTCAGACGAGAAACAATAAACGGTTACTAATGAAACACAAGTCACATCTGAATGGAAGGTCATACCTGAATATGCAGAGGTTAAGTAGGCTGGGGCAGAGGATGTCGGTGGTGATTTTGTTTTTTGTTTTTGCTTGAACTATAGCAAGGTGCTTCCTTAATTTGAAATGTGACTTTACTTCAAATCTTAAACTTACGAGAATTTTCAGCCACTGCAAAGTCGGAGATGAACTGTGCTCTGGAGCATGTCATTAGTCATTTGACCTGCCGTGACGGCTTGGGAGGGCCGAGGTGGCTCCTGGGTGCTTTGCTCCTTGTGGCTCTTTTTAGAGTCCTTGACCCCAATTTGGAAAATGTACGTGTTCTATTTAACCCTGACATTGGCCCATATACACACCACATTGAGAGTAACGCAGGTACGAATCCCTTCTCAACACAAAATCGGTAGGAATACTTCTCCGTTGTTTGACCGCAAATTAATGGACACATTGAAAGAAAGGAGGGAAAAAGAGGACTAGTTGAGGCTTTTATATACGTTCATTGCTTCTAACATGTTTTTTAGAACAAGAAAAATGCAACATCGACTACTCTTATTAGAGTGAGTAGAGCCACAATACTGTACAGTTTGGGGGTTCGGCAGCCAGGAACATTTACCATTAAAACCAGAGAACAACAGCCCATGGCAAAAGAAAACCAGCCAGAAATTAGCCCCCATGAATTTTTTTTATATATATACATTTTTAGAATACTCTGCCTTTGAACAATACAAACAATAACAACAACAAAAGACAAACAGGCTTTATATTAAAAATGTCTGTGTTCTTCATGGTTACTTCTAAAGCAGCTTGGAGGATTTTGCCACTTGGAGTGTACTGCAAATTGACTCCACTACCATGATCTTGGAAGGATAGCAGCACAGGATTTGATATTCCCTACTCATCACTTTTGACAATGTAAACCTTTCACAAAATAGTATTTTGCTTAAAAATTAGAATCATTCAAAGGGTCTGATCATTCTGTTCCCTGAGGCCTGCCAGGGAGGTCTGGCTTCATACCATGGGTTTCCTGCTTTCTCAGAGTGGGGCACAGGCGCCACTGCATTTCAGGAAGAATCCGAAGGACAGCCACTGAAAAGGGCCCTGTGGAAGGAGGGCAGGAGCGCTCTAGACGGGTCTGTCAAAGCAGACCACATAAAGCAACCCTCTGAAGGTCAAACCGTCATGGCCAGAATTTAATCCCCTGGTCATTTCCCGTCTGGATTTTCAACTGAATGAATCTCATGGGTTTAACCAAACATGTATGTCATCCTAAATAATGTGTTAGATTCTGATTTGCCCAGGGACTAGGAAACCTTCAAGGAACAAGGTCAAAGGGACAACAGATATATCCTTCACAATAAACAATTCTGTTGACGTGGAAATGCAATAACTGGGTTGAAGCGAAGTTCCACAGTGGCCAACGTGCTCCGGGGTTTTCAGCAGCTGAGACCCGGGGCTTCTCTCACCTTCTCAGAAATGCTTTTAAACAACTGAGACAAAAATCTCAAACAGAAAAATGATAATTTTTGCTAACGAAAAGTGTGGAGGCCATAACTAAGTACAATTTAAAAAAAAATGCTGAGATGCATGTATCTTTTTTAAAGCAGCTTTCAAAATATTAACCACAGCATTAAACATTGAACATAGTACATTCCAAAGTTAATACAGATAAATGGTATATAATGCAATAATGCCACAGTTATTCCATGAACGTCTCAAAGCTGATTCTAAACTTGAAAAAAACATTTTCTAGTTTGTTTGCAGGAGATTTCACTTCATTGCTACTTCTCTAGAGTTTCCACCATTTTTTTTTTTTTTTTCTAAATGCCCCAGGATGTACAGATAATTTCCACATTCCACACCTGGAACTTTTTTCCCCCCTCCTCTGTCAGGTTTTCCAAACAAAACAAAACAAAACTACAATGACAAGGTAATGTTTTACATCGAAACTCCAGAGACATGGGTCGATTAATCCATGACACCTCATTCCAACACTTCCTTTAGCATTTACGACTTTCCCCAAGGTCACTTAAAGCCTTGCTCTCAACTGTGCCCACAGGCGGGCGGCCGCGCAACCAACACGCATGCGCTGTGGCCAGCACGCATGCGCTGTGGCCAGCACGCATGCGCCGTGGCCATGCGGCGCCCAGGATGCACTTGTCTCCTTCCGGGTTTCCTGCCAGTGGCGGCGACGCCACCTCCCTCCGCAGGGAAAGGCTCAGTGCCTGTTTCCTTCCCTCCACAGTGATAAATGTCTTAAGAGCCTTGGCTCCCAGGTTCCCCGCTCCACGAGGAAAAGGGCCTAACTAGGGGGCCCGGGGGAACAGGCCCAGGGCCACGACTGTTCTTTCTCGACAGCGGGATTCTGAGCTCTGTCGGCTTCCAGACGTTCGGAGACCGCACTGCTCTGTGTAAAAGCCTACGAGCAGGCCAGCGAGCGCCCAGGCTCCGTTCCAGGATGAGGCCTCCGAGCTGGGGCAAGGCGGGACTGCAGACCGTGGCCTCTTAGGGAAACGCAGGCACTTGTGGCGGCCTGATGCTTCTGGATAAGTCACCAAAACGTTCACTTCCTCGCCTTCTGGAGGATTCTGTTTCATACACAGAAAGAGCCAGTATCTGGGGGAGAGTATCCAAAATGTCTGAATATACACATCAGGGCTTTAAGGTACTGGATGCTATTGGATAAATTGCTAGAATGCTTCTCGGCACAATTGGTAGCTTAAAAAAATACTTTCCTATGGTTTCACGGCATTTTCCCCATCACTGTCCTTCGGTGTGGAAATCTTGGTGGATGCCAAGTCCATCTGAAGTTCCCCAGGTTTTTTTTGTTGTTGTTGTTGCTTGTTTTTTCTTCTAACCGGGTATGTACCATGTGAGCCAAATGCTAAGTGTCTATTCTTCAGGCCAGAGAAGAATGGACTTCCCATCGAGCGCCTTCCCTCTCTTCATATCGCAGCCCCCAGGGCAGACCAAAAAAAAAAAAAAAAAAAAAAAAAAAAAGCGAGGAAAACGCACACCTTCTTCCTAACTTCCAGCAGCCAGACACCCGGCTTCTGGAACTGTCAAATCCTCTGTCAGTCAGTTCGTTTGCTCTTCAGATGGTGAGTCAGTCCAGCCAACAACATGGAAAACAAATCCTTGTTTGTAGGCACAGGAGATCCAGGTGGAGCTGCACAGGTGGGGCTTGCCAATTAGTGGTAGTTTCCAAAGACAGGAGGTTCGATGGGACGGTCTTAAATAAATAAATCTTTTTTTTTCCTTGATAATGTAAAAAATAAACGGTATTTCCCTTTGGCAGTAAATAGCTGATTCGACACTGAGCCTGAAAGCTGTTTTTGTTTTGTTTTGTGTTTTGTTTTTAAGAGACCACAGCTTCGTTTCATGGTACGGCACTGGCAATGCATATATTTCTACTGCTTTAGTGAACCTTTTGCATATTTGTTTGTGGCAGGCCTACTGACTTCACTTGTGGCCCAGGTAGGCACCCAGGGTGATGCAAGCTCCCACCAGGGCCAGACTGAGCAGGGCCTTCAGGGACAGCCAGGAGAAGTCAAACAGAGGCTGCACGCTGGGGCCGTACAGCTCCACAAAGGCATCCTGCAGGGGGAGAGAGGGGGAGATAAAGAGAATTAGAGAGAGAGAGAGCACGGGATGCCGGCCTATGGGGAGGGTAGCATCCAGCCCCAGGAGCCGAGCGCATTCCGCAGGGCATGAGGAAAAGTGAAACGCTCTTCTGGGGCAGTGATTCGGACCCACTTTTCAAACTCTCATTCAAGAAGTATTCCTCGAAATCCCGTTGATGAGCCAGGTACCACAGAGACACAGCAGTAAGGGAAGCCGACTGAAAGTTCCTACTTCGCCAGGCTTTTATCTAGTTGCGGGCCATAGACGGCAAACAAAATAAATGTATCAGAGAGTGTGCGAGAGAGCGCTAGGTGCTAAGGAGAAAAATAAAACAACAAATGCAGTTAGAAAATACTGGAAGCTAGCAATTTTAGCTAGCATGGCCATCCCTAAAAATAGTAAGAAACAGTAGGTACAAGTGTGCTCCTCTATGGAACACTTGCTATAGGCCAGGCACTTGTAATAAATGCCTCAAATTACTATTTTATTTATTCTTCATACCAATATTATGGAGTCATTTTATTTGCTTCTCTTGTGTAGAGGAAAATAAAACCTGTGTGGAAAAAACAGAGGTTAAGGGATTTGTCTAATCAGCGGCGGCACCGGGATTCGAACCCAGATCCAAACCAGTGCTCTTGAATCGCTCAGGCCCCCCCCCCCCCACGGCTCATGGCACCTCTGTGAGAGTGCTTGGTCTGTCCAGAACGCTGGCACAGTGCACACAAGCAGGGTGGCCTCCCCTGGTGGCATGCCTAGACTCTGAAGTCAACAATGGAGTTCTCCTGGGTAAAAAAGCTGTCTCAGGGTTTTCTCTGGCAGTGGCCAGGCTGGATGACCACAACCTTGCACTTAACTCAAGTTGTGAACTTCGCAAAGCATGTGGTCACTTATGGTCAGTTAGGTGTCACTGAACACACACGGACCTGAGGAAGGAAGATGATGGCTCCTCTCATCCTTTCTTATTGCTGCCTTGAAGTCAGGTCTGTAGGGCTACGATGGGAGTCATGGCCAAGTTATCTGGATATTTTCAGATTGGACTGAATGCTCATTTCTTAGATTTGTTGGGGGACATTTGTTGGATCCAATGAGTAGGTGGACAACTCTCTAAGTATATCTGCATATATAAACCAGTAATTAAAATTCTTTTTGCTTGGTATGATTTATTCAGGCATGAAGAGAACAAGACATACTTCCAGTTACTCCCAACAACGTGGCGTCAGAGCACACGAGACAGTAACACACCCACACCTGTAGCGTTGCTGTGTGGAGGTAGTTCTGATAATGGTCAGTGTTTTTGTCTGTTTAAGGCAAGTGCTGCACGAGGGAGCAGGGATCAGCTTTGTCTCTCCGGAGCTGTTCCTGGTTTTGGCACATGGAGGCACTTAATAAGTATCAATCCAATTGACACTTAATGTTTTCTGAAGTCAGTCATTGGTTTGAATTCTGTCTTTGGCCTAATACTTCACCAGATGTTTCTTCTGCCTGTTTGAAATGATTCCTTCTATATGTAACCTCTGGGAATCTTGGAAGTGGTCTTGAAGGTGAGCGTTTAGGGCATAATTGGGGTAACTTCTCATGTTATTAAATATAGATCCACACAGTCATTTTCATGACTGTCTAGTATTCCATGTCATGTATTCTGTCCTCAGTTTAACTGAATCTTTATCTTTTTGGAACTTTCACGGTCATAAATAATATTATGATACATTTTTGTACATGAATTCCTTTCCATTTGCTAAGTTTGCTTTTTGGGAACAAATTCCTAGAAATGAACCCAAATGATCAGTCATCAAAACTGCTGTTCCCGACGGTCACAAAATGTTTGTGATGAGATATTCTCACTCTCTCACTGGTTGCCCTTGACCAAGGACACCCTGTACAAAAGGCAGACAAGGGTTTAGGGCAGTGGTTCTCACTGGGGGTCATCTTGGCCCTAGGGGACATTTGGCAATGTCTGGAAACATTTTTGGTAGGGGTGTTATTGGCCTCTAATGGGTAGTTGGCCAGAGACGCCGTTCAATATCCCACAATGCACAGGATAGTCCCCAGCCAAAGTGCCAACAGACTTGAGGCTGAGAAACCATGTGAAGAAAGGTGTAGGAGAAACTCTGATCACAGACCACAGAAACCCTACTCATCCATCTCGTGTGTCAACGGCTTTGGTCAGATTAACGCAAGATGAGTTAGTTAGCCCAGACAAGCACTGCTCCCCAGGAAGTGGGTGCCCTGGGCTTACAGACGCACTACGTTAACTTTTGCCAGGAGAGGGCGCAAGGGGTTTCTTCTTTTTTAATCCATTGTTGACATTTTCTAAATTTGAGCCTTAGGAACGCAAGGCAATACACATAAATGAGATATGTGTGTAGTGCTCTCAGCACAAAGCTGAGGTAACAATCCTGATTGCTAGTCAAGGAACATACCTTCCTTATATATAATCAGGGACAAATGGGGCAGGAATGGGTCAGGACAGATTTACGAGCAAGAAAAACTCTGCTTCTTGTAAAGTGCGTCCCAGGATCCCACAGACACGGCTGCAAACAGCTCACAGCCCACCCTTCCAGGCTGCTCTCTCGCTGGAACCTCCTACAGTAGCTGATGCCCGGAATCCTTCAGGACCCAGGCCTTGTGCTGTAGGCAGCGTGGCTCAGCGCTGAGAAGGCTGATGGTTGTGTTCTGCCTTCCTTTAATTACCAGTGGGGTTTTCTTTGGCAGAACGGGAAAGAGACTAAGCCCCTTGCCATCTGACCTTTCTGGCCATGGAGCCATTCTGAGAAAGTGGGGGAAGCGGGGACAAACTAGGGCTGGCATTTTCTCCCTGTTCACCTGGGACACGACATAGATACCAGGGGGCACAAGACATGCCTCTCCAAAGGTCCCTACCTCTCTGTGGCTGAGCGATTTCCTCTCCCAACCACCATCCCCTCACGTAAATAACTGTGCTCCTAATGGACCTGATGGGCCGTTTCTGGTGTGCATTAGAAAGAAAAAAACATCATTTCTGGAGTGAGATGAGCTAAAGTAGCATCTCCTGACTCAAAGAATGAACACAGAGTTGCTGACGCAGCCCTAGGGGTCAGGGGATGGCTCTCAACTTGGGGAAGGAGGTCAGGGTGAAATCCCAGTTTTGACATTTTATTGCTTCTGACCTTGAATGAATTATCCAACCCCGAGCCTTATTTATTTCATCCACAAAATTGGCTGCAATGAAGATTAACACAGGTGACTCAGAGCCCCTCGTAAACGTGGCCTCGAATGTGAACTAGTGGGCGTATTAACTTTTTCGCTGGTCTGCCCTCTTGCAAACCTGCTCCATCCCTCCTTCACCTGGCCTGCCCTCCAGAGGGTCTGCCGAGTCCCCTCTTTCACAGGAGCAATTTACTAGCTCCCCGCGGCCCCAGCCCCGAAAGGAGTCTGCTTTTGAAGATGCCTGGTCATTGCTATAGAAGGTATGAGTTAAAATGTACAAATATACATGTGACATGTTCTGGTCAAAGACGGGAAGTGGTGACGCACTGCCCATCTCTACTTCCTCAGAAATCACGAAGCCAGGTGGTAGGGCTGATGGGCATCATCTGACCCCCCCCCCCCAACCCTAAACCGCCCCCCCCACCTTTGCCCCTCCACGACGGCGAAGTGCAAAGCAGGCGTTGTTGTTTCAGGACTGGAGGTCCTAAAAGCTACTTTTACGGAGCGTCTTCTTGCTTTTTCAAACATCCTGATTAGGGTGATTTCCGAAGTCTGTTTGAACAGTCTGTCATTATTTGTTTAAGTCTGAAAGCTGTTTTAAATAAACACATGCTCATTTTATGTATTAAAAGCAACAAAGAGGGAAAAAGAAAACCTGAGCCATCATCATGTGATTCGGATAAAATCCCAGTCTGTGCACTTGGAGGGCACCAGAACCCAGGCTCACGTCTGCATGGGCAGGAGCGCTGCCTGAGTCCCGGAAATGCGTGGCAGGTTCCCAGGTGACCGGCCTTTCTCCTTTAGCTGACCACCCCCACCACCACTTCCCCATGGAGGAGGTGGGCTGGGCCCCAGCTCTGGGTGCTCCTTCACAGATGGCTTCTCCATGGACTTCAAATTCAGAGGCCACAGATGGTCTGAGTCTGAGTCCCACCAAGAGCTGGCCCACCAGGGCAGATGGCTGGACTCCCCGACCCCAGACCCTTGCTACAGAGCTGGAAGTAAGCCAGGGAGATGTGGACAGGAGCAGATCATACTCAAGACTCCCAAGCAGAGAGGACAGCAAAAGTGTCCTCAGCCTTCCTCAACTTTGCTCATGGGACCTCTCCCACCTGATTCTCTCTCTCTCTCTCTCTCAAAAACACACACACACGGATACCTCTCCCTTGAGGCAGCTGCTCTCCAAAATTTTCCTTTTCCCTCCAGTACCCTTCAAGAAGTTTCACTTAAACCTGATTCCAAATAAAATGAGATTAAACACCAAATGGGTCAGATTGGCAAAAACTGAAAAGAATACCGAGTTTCGCCAAAAAGGATGCGGTGGGAATTAGGGGTGGGAGGCCCAGATATTCTAACACAATTGGTGGACTCCCAGGTAAAGATAAATTGTATTTGCATTTGGCAAGGCATATCAGAAGCTTTAAAAATATTATCCTTTTGTTAGGAATTCCACTCCTAGTTATTTAGCAGGAAAAAATAATAAAATGCACAGGTTGGTTATAGGAGATAAAACCCGAAGAGGACTGAAATGTCTGAAAATATGATTGGTTAGGTAAACTCATGGCACTTCGATACAGTGGAATGGCATTCAACCAATAAAAACTGTACCCTATATTTACTGGCCAGGAAAGACGTTCCTAACATAGTTCTGAGTGCAACAGGTAACAGCTAAACCAATGTCAGCCAGGTCAGGCCCCTGACTCGTGGTGGTTCAAAGATCTCCTTAAACACTGGGAAAAATAAATATGGCCCTGTTGGATATAAACAAACTAGAAATTCAGCTACAT